TGTATAGTATTTTGAAATGTAAAGTATGTAGAGTCTAGAATAAATTTCAAGGCGTTAATAAAGTCACCATATGGTAACTTAGTTTTATGTGTAATGAACTTCCATCTATTTTTGATACCTAGTTCTACCAGGTCGATGGGAATATTCGTGAACAAGGATATAAAATCCAACGAAAGTAACGAAAAGCCAGTGGGGATGGATCTGTTGGTACATTTTTGAACTAGTGAAAGGCTGTCTTTGATGGTATATTCACCAGAAGGTAGACTGTGAATTAAGATGTCGTGTATGAAGGAAGCTAAGTTGTACAGTGGAGTACGTAGTGAAGAGACAATAATGACAAGAAAATGAGATATCATTTTCTTATTGCAAATAGAGAAAAATTATTTTTATGCTCGATTGTTTTCATGTGCGCAGAAAAATATCTTTCAAGTGTTAACAAAACCGATTACTCAATTTCAGTTTTCTTCTTTTAGGTAATGGTTATCTTTACAAAAAATATTTGTAACGTGTACATTTTTATACCATTGTCAAGAAAAAATATTCTTTGTTAGAGGCAACCGTTACTTAGTAAAAGAAAAAAGTAAATTGAGTAATTATTATCACAATAATCTCTCTCTAAAAAAAAAGATAAATCAAGAAATTTCTTAAATTATATTGTCTATAATACTTAAGAACAATTACACAGGTCTACAAAAAATGGGATCATGATTGTTGTTGGGCAGCTGGGAGTCGTTTCCCAAGTAATTTTCTGCGTAAAATTTGAATCCGAGGTCAGAATTGGCCCATCACGTCAGGATTTTGAAATATTTGAGGTTATATACTCGAAAAATTGCTTTTTGGGCTACTTTTGAGGTTATGTACAGGACGCACAAAATTTTTTAGCTCTTTTTTTTAATTGCATCATTTAGTTCTACTCTTTCCCTTCAAAATGAGCTGTCGAATGGTCATCTACGATTTTTCCTTGCAAAGTTACGGCCATTTTAAGATAACATGATGAATTACAAACCCTGCGCCGTTATAGCCCAACAACCTCATGAACATTCACATTAAACCTGTAAACTTTGAACTATAAACCCAAAAACCTGGGCTGCAAGGATCAAAGAGTAGAACTAAATGATGCAATTAAAAGAAAAGAGCTAAAAAATTTTGTGCGTCCTGTACATAACCTCAAAAGTAGCCCAAAAAGCAATTTTTCGAGTATATAACCTCAAATATTTCAAAATCCTGACGTGATGGGCCAATTCTGACCTCGGATTCAAATTTTACGCAGAAAATTACTTGGGAAACGACTCCCAGCTGCCCAACAACAATCATGATCCCATTTTTTGTAGACCTGTGTAATTGTTCTTAAGTATTATAGTCTACCTTCTGGTGAAAAAAATTTTGTGTGTCCTGTACATAACCTTAAAAGTAGCTCAAAAAGCCATTTTTCGAGTACGTAACCTCAAATATCTCAAAATCCTGACGTGATAGGCCAATTTTGACCTCGGATTCGGATTCTACGCAGAAAATTACTTGGGAAACGACCCCCAGCTGCCCAACAACAAAACCTTGTAGACCTCCCAGATAGCACAAGTGATCCATATGAACTCAAAAAGAATTCACTTTTTAAATTTCTTTATGAATTACTTCGATCTATTCCAAATGAACTCAAATGTAGTTCTTTCCGGTAGTTCAAAAAGGACTCCATAGAAGTATACCTTTTGACTTCTTATAGGATCAAATTAAAGTATTCTGAAGGAAGTCCTTTACCTGTTCATAATGGGTTCGAATAGAATTCCTTTTCGGTGTACTCAATACACAATTGTCCCCTCTATCATCGCACATCTGGAGTCCCGTCTGGGCCGTCGAGCGGTTCACACGTCTTCCGACGGAAGATAAATTTTTGATCCTGCGGGATTGCATCATCCCGCGCGTGGCCCGGTTGCCGGGCCATTGCATTGTTTAACTCATATTTAGCCTATTGGTTCGACGTGGCCGTGTGCTATAGTGTGGGGACTTACTTTGTATATCAAATTAATAAAAAGAAAGCTGTTTAATGATTCATCGGATTGCAGCGTTTTAACAATGTCGGTTCAACATTGTTTTCCCAACTGCAAATGCTTCTAATTTAAAGCCAACCGTTGGTCAACCAATTACTCGGGTTCCTGCCAAATAACCAAGTCAGTAAAATAATATGTTTATACAAATTAATTAGATTTTATATATCTTTTTGCATAAGATATTGATATGAGAATATTCAAGATTTTCTTACTTTTAACTTTACCCAGATAGCACCGAATGTTCCATGAATGTTTGTATATGATTCGAATGTTCTCTCTCAGGAATATTCGCATGGATGTGCCGTGAATGTTCCTAGAATGTTCTTCATATTCTATGAACATTCACACAGAATGCCCAGGGAATATTCGCATTAAATGTTCCCTGAGTGTCTATGGCATATTCTGAATGTTCTATGAATAAT